ATTCACATGTCCGTGCGGTGGGTTCCATCGAAACAGAATCCCGCTTATGGCCCCTCTCGCCCCTTTCAGCCTCGCGCGCGAGACCCAGCCAGTGAGGAGACTGATGTCGGCCAGCCCCTTCATGTAAAGCGCGCCCCACCGTGGCCTTCGACGCGCCCTTGAAGCCGCGGCGGGGCGTTCTAGGCCCGGCGGTTAGCCGGTATCTTCGCGGGGGATCTCCCCCGCCGTTGGCCTGGGTTGCCGATGCGATTTGGGCTTGAAGCGGCCTGCCGTCGTCTGACCTTTGCCGAGAGCCGTCTCGCCATCGAAATTTGGGCGAGAACGATCGTTTGCGCTGTTCGAATTTTATAGCCCTGAGCCCTTGCAAGAAGAACGAGCGAGAGCGCCTGCAGCTGCGATTTGCCGTGCCCTGGCAGGCATGATGTCCCAGGCCTCTTCGCATGCTGCCGAGCCCTGCTGCTTCTTCAGTTCGCGCCCGCGCCCTCGCTTCGACTCGCCCCGCGGGCGCGCCGACCTCTCGGCCGTCGAGGGGGCGCCTGGCGGTCAGCATTTCGACCCCATCCGCCCCGCGGCCGCGCGCGCACTTCCCGCGCCCTAGTTGCGAGGGGACTCGGTGGCTCCGAAGCTTTGGAAGCCCGCGGGGGCCTGCCGACTCTGTCGGACAGCGAGGTGTTCGCGCTGCTCGAGCAGCTCCGCAGCACATTCAAGGGCGACCAGGAGTTCGCGGAGGCTTCGGGCTCGGAGACCGAGAACGAGGCGGAGGCGGTTCCTGAGGCCGCGCTGCCACTTCGGAGCCGCGCGATCCCTCGCTGGCAGAAGGGCGCCCTCTCGAAGCAGCTGGAGTCGCCGACCGTTCCAATGCTGTCTCACTTCGCCCTGGGGGGGCGCGCGGCCGTGACGCCGCGGACCGAGGCGCAGTTCGCAGAGGAGGTTTGCCAGTTCGGCTCATTCGCGAACGCGCACCGCGTGGTCGACATCCCGCTGGGCGATCTCGACGACCTCTTGGCGGAGTGCATGAGCCGCCAGATTCGTCGTGGGATCTCAGCGTCGCGCGGGGTGAAGCTGCCGGCGGGGGTTGTGCGCGGCCGGCCGAAGGCGGGCATGGGCGGCCCCTGCGTCCAGCAGCGGAGCTGGCGGGCTCCGAAGGGATGGCAGAACTTCTGTCCGTGGTTCTCACGGCTGCTGGAGGCCTGGGCCATCTGGCGCGCGTTGATCTACGGCCTGTGCGCGTTGGGCCGCTTCGGCGTGGCCCGTGGAGCTCCTGCGCCCGTCCGATCCAGCTGGCGGCCTTCAGACCCGAGTCTCTGCGCGCGCCGAGCCGCGTGGCCACTTGCTGGTCTCTCCAGCTGAATCCAGAGTTCGAGGGGGCCCCCCGAAAGCCGCGGAGTTCGACGTCGCTATCGAGTTGGACCATCGTTGGCGGGGAAACGTCGCGCCGATGCTGTCCGCAATCAAGTCATTGCCCCGAGGGGCGAATGTTTTGACGTTCGCCTACCCCCAGCTAGCGGCCTCAGTGCATAATGTCTCTCGGGGCCTTGGCTTCGACCTGGTGGTCTACCAGGCCCGCCGCAGTGGCGCCGGCGCGGACGTGGCGACTCGAAAGCGGACCTCGGAGGAGGTGAAGAAGCGCGGCGGCTGGAAGGCCGACCGACCGGTGTTTCGGTGCGAGAAGGGAGCTCGACTCAGCTCAACTTGGGTTGCCCACTCTGTCTGGCTTCGCGCCCGCGCCGAGCGATGCGAGGAGAGATTCGTGGAGGTCCTGGCGCGCGGCCACGTGCTGCCAAAACCCGCCTTTCATTCCCTTTGAACGAGAGGGGGCTCTTAATGGCCGTCATCGGCAGCGTGCCTATGCAGCCGACCACGGTGGTGAACGTGGGTTTTTGGTTCGATATACTCCAGATCAGTCGGTCAGCAACGTTGCTTTGTTTCGTGGTAGGCGTGGCATCCGAGCTGGAAAGATTGGCGCGATCATCGTCTCTTTGAGTTCTAACAAGATATCTACGGGACTTGTTCGTATGTGTGCAGACGCGCAGCGCCTAGGCCTGTCGGTTGCCGTGAATATGTACAAGCAGAGGTTACATCCTGTTTCCATGCTCTGAGCTAAGATTGCGTCGTTTCCCATATGTGTCGGTGTGGCGGTTTTGCGCGCTTTAGTGCTTCCAGTTTTAGTGCGAATGCGATGTCTGCCGATGCCACCCGCCTTGGTTTAAGTTGCCCAGACGCCCGGGCCCGCGATGGCCACGAGAAACACGTTGCCGTGCCTCCCGCCTCAGAGTTGGTTTCTACACGTTTCCAGGTTGCCGTTGGCTTTATTCTTTTGTCGGCTCTTCGGGGCCTGTGCCTTGCGGTGTGAAAACAGCTTCTGCTTTGGGAGTCTGGCTTAGGGTGTGACTTGAATTTGCGGCGAAGCGAAGCCCTCGCCTGGATCATTTTCAGATCCGAGTCGAAGACCAGTAAGTATAGTCGAGGGAGCCGCTCCCTGCAAAAAACAAGGATCAGTCATGGGGGGTGCGCGCACATTAATGACTTAGCGGGGTTTGTGGGCGTCGGTTTCATCGATCCTCATGGTGCCACTCTGCAATGATCCTGGCTCCCTTTTTTTGTCGAGTTAGTTCGGCTCTCCCAACCCCTCTCTCTTTTCCAGGGTGTGTTGTGTTGAATTTGAGGCGAGGCGAAGCCCTCGCCTTCATCACTCTCGGATATCCGAGTCGCTTGGGCTAGCAAGTATAATAGAGAGGACCGGTCCCCGTGAAAAACAAAGGTAAGCCATCATCCTGATCATCATCGCCATTATCAGCACCATCGACATCATCACCACCGTTATCATCATGACCATCACCATCACAATCATCATAACCATGGCTATCATCATCATCGTCATCACCACCATCATCATCAGCAACATCAGCCCCACCACCATCATCATCAACAGCATCGTCATCACCACCACCAGCATCACCACCAACACCATCACCATCAACATCATCATCACCGTCATCAACATCATATTCGCTGTCGTCGTCGTCGTCGTCGTCATCACCATCACCATCACCATCACCATCGTCGTCGCGCTCGGTCCTTCTCGTGTGAGCTCCTCCTCCTCCTCCTCCTCGTCCTCCTCCTCCTCCTCCTCTATTCTTATTCCCTATACATAACTTCTCCCTGTCGCACCCGAAGGCCAATTTTTCAGGCGGTCCAGACGTTTTGCCTGAGACTTCCTCACGGTTTATGACCCTGAAGCTTAAACGTCGGCAGCCGTTTCACATATGGAGGGCGGGTGGTTTTCAAAATGTGGCTCTCGCCTTAGCGCGGCGCGCAACTCCTGTAAAATATTGCAAGAGTTTCGCGTATGGAGGGCGGGTCGTGTTCAAAGTATGGCTCTCGCCGAAGCGCGGCGCACAGTCGTTTTAAATATTCGCAAGCGCTTCATGGATTGAGGGCGGGTCGTTTTCAAAATGTGGCTCTCGCCTGAGCGCGGCGCACGGTCGTCATAAATAATTACAACAATTTCGCGTATTGAGGGTGGGTCGTTTTCAACATTTGGCTTTCGACCAGGCGCAGCGAACATTCGTGGTATAAATTCGCAACAGCTTCTCAGCTGGAGGGCGGGTGGTTTTCAAAATTTTGCTCTCGCCGTAGCGCGGCGCACATTTTTTATAAACAAAGAATGCAGTAGTTTTACGTATTGAGGGCAGGCCGTTTTCAAAATGTGGCTCTCGTTTTAGCGCGGCGCACACTCGTTTTAAAACTTCGCAAGAGTTTCGCGGATTGAGGGCGGGTCGTTTTCAAAATGTGGCTCTCGCCTCAGCGCGGCGCACAGTCGTCGTACATCTTCGCAAGAGTTTCACGGATGGAGGGCGGGTGGCTTTCAAAATGTGTCTCTCGCCTTAGCGCGGCGAGCATTCGTAGTAGAAATTCTTAAGAATTTCACGGATCTGGGGCGGGTCTTTTTCAAAATGTGGCTCTCGCCTTAGCGCGGCACACATTCGTTTTTTTGCATTTCGCAGAACTTTCACGGATTGAGGGCGGTTCTTTTTCAAAATGTGGCTCTCGCCTGAGCGCGGCGCAGTCTCGTTGTAAATATTGGAGAAGAGTTTCACGGATTGAGGGCTGTTTCTTTTCAAACTGCGGCTTTCGCCGTAGCGCCGCGCACATTCGTTTACAGAATTTGCAAGAGTGTCGCGGGTTCCCATCATCAACTTACCAGACCTGTTGTTCTGACAGTGTTCAAGATTACGCGGGCGCAACAGTTGTGTTGATTCGTTGTGTTTAAATCCCAGGGAGGGCGTTTTGGCACGATTCAGGACCGTCAACACGCAACAGTCAAGTCGATCCGTGGCGTTGGAATCCCGAGAACATTGTTTTGTAATTTTTCAGGGTGTTAGAACGGTTGTCTTCCAACGAGGCATTTCCTTCAAGAAAATGGACCGTTGTAGGGGCCTATGAGGGGGGAGCTTGGAGGGAGGGTTTGTTCCAACATCGTTGATGACTCTTGGGTTTACACTGGTCCTCCTCCCTCTCCTCCTCCTCGTCCTCGTCCTCGTCGTCGTCGTCGTCCTCCTCCTCCTCCTCCTCCTCCTCCTCCTCCTCCTCCCCATCCCCCTCCACATCCATCATCGTCATTCGTCGTCGTCCCCTTCCTTCTTGTCCCCCTCGCAATGTTACAGTATCCGTTGCCAGTTTGGCTCGGGCCATGTGCGCTCGAGTCCGCTCGCCGGGCTGGCGCCCAGGTCGCCGCGGATGAGCGCCTGCTGGCGGCGCCTGCGTCCTGCCAGGCCGCCACGCCAGCGGGCGCCGCTGGCGGGGCGGTGGTCAGGCGCGCGCCCGGGCGGGCCGCGCGCGGGCGAGCGGGGCTGGCGCGAGGGCGGCGAGCTTCGGAGAAGGAACCTCTGCGCAAACATCAGCTCTCGGAGCCCCGCGCAGAGTTCAGGGAGTTGCGCTGGACCCCCCTTCCCGTCGGAGGCGCCCCTGGCGCACGGCCCGCGCGCCGGGGAGGGGGGCGTCCAGCGCCGATCCAAGGAATCCCCGTGCGGACCTCCGAAGGCTTGTGCTCATGCAGGCTTTTGTTCTTCTAGAGCTAGAGGGGCTCGACGCGCTCGCGGAGGCCGGCGATGTCGCCGGGGCAGACTCTGCCATGCGGCGGCTGCAGCGGACGCAGGCCCTCAGCGCCTCGGAGCACAGGCTGCTCTTCAACCTGGCCATCAAGGCGTGCGCCAACGCAGGGGACCATCGGGCCGCCGAGCGCTACTTCGGGGAGATGGTGCAGAGGGGCACCACGCCCAACAGCCGCACGTTCGGCAAGATCATGGAGGCTTGCGCAAACGGCGGGTATAGGGAGGGGGCCGAGCGCTGGTTCTCCAAGGAGCACGACGTCGGCTTCGAGGCCAACATGGCGCACTACAACATCCTCATGAAGAGCGCCGTCGGGACGCAGGACCTGAGCGCCGCCGAGCGGTGGATGCACCGCGCACGCGTCGCGGGGCTCGAACCGGACGCCTTCAGCTTCGCCACGCTCGCGCAAGTGGCGGCGGGCGCGGGTGATGCCCCCGCAGCGGACCGGTGGCTCGGCGAGGCGATCGCGGCGGGCGTGGACACCAGCGGCTGCGTGTCGGCCATCGTCTGTATGTCTTCGCGCGAGGGGGGCGATCCGTCAGCCTGGGCGGCCTGCCTGGAGCGCCTGCGCGGGCTCGGCGTCCAGCCCGACGACAGGACGTACGCGGCGATCGTGGAGACCTGCGCCAGGCAGGCCGGGCTGGCCGCTGGCGAGTTCTGGCACGGCCGCGCCTGCGAGGCTGGGGCCGCGCTGCCGGAGGCAGCCTTCAGGGCCCTCATCGAGGCGGCCGCGAGGCAGCGCGACTTGCCGGCTGCTCTGCGCTGGCTGCGGGCGCTGGAGGACGCCGGCCTCGCGGCGGGCCCCGGGGCCTACGGCGCTGCCATGGGCGCCGCGGCGCAGGCTGGCGACCTGGCCGCCGCGGAGGCGCTCCTCGAGAGGGCCAGGCGGGCGGGCATGGAGCTGACGCTCCTCATGCTGAACCAGCTCATCAACGCCGCGGCGCAGCGGGGCGACCTGGCGGCGGCGGAGCAGTGGTTCGACAGGGGAGCCGAGGCTGGCACCAAGCCAGACCTCGTGAGCTTCAACACTATCATCAAGGCCGCGGCCACCAGGGGCGACCTCTCCTCCGCGGAGCATTGGTTCGAGCGAGCCGTCGACGCAGCCGTCCAGCCTGACGTGTTCACTTTCGCGTCGGTCATCGGCGCGGCGGCGAAAGAGGCGAATCTTCCCGCCGCGGAGCACTGGGTCAGGCGTGCGGAGGAGGAGGGCGTCCGTCTCAACGTTGTTGCCTACGGCGGCATCGTGCGCGCCGCGGCCCGCAGCGGCCAGCCGGACGCCGCCGCTGCCTGGCTCGCGCGAGCCCGCGAGTCTGGGCTGGAGCTGAACACGGCAGTGTACAACGCACTGGTCGACGCGCTGGCGCAGTCGGGCAAGATGGCCACTGCCGAGCACTACTTCGAGGAGATCGAGGGCGCCGGGCTCCAGCCGGACATCCAGTCCTTCGGGGCGCTCATCAATGGCTTCGCCCGCCGGGGCGACTTCGACCTGGCGCTCAAGTGGTTCGAGGAGATGGAGCGCAGGGGCATCAGACCAACCGTCATCCAGTTCAACCAGATGCTGAAGGCGAGCGCGAGGTCCAGGCCACCGCGCCCAAACTTCGCGGAGGCGCTGTTCCGCCGCATGCTGGCATCGCAGGAGCAGCCCACGCCTGTCACGCTGAAGTCGCTGGGGCGGTGCGTTGGCCGTCACCGGCTCTCGGACCTCTGCTCGGAGCTGGGCATCGACGATAAGGCCCTCTGGGAGTCCGACTTCAGCTCGAAGCGCCAGAAGCGGCAGGTCCGCCCGCCAGCGCGGCCGCGGTCTGGCTTGCCTGCCGGTGGCGCCGAGACTCGCTGCGGTCTGGAGGGGGATGAGCACAAAGAAGACGCTCTCCTCCCGCCGCTCCGCGGCGCTCAGCAGTGCGGCCTCTGCCCGCCGGGGGGGGGGGGCCGCTGTCCCAGGAAACGGCCCCTGTCGCCGGGGCCGTGAAGTCGAGGAGAGGCGCCGTGCAGTCCAGGCGCTGAGATGAGGACCACGTTGGGCTCTGGAGGGGCTCCGGTCTCCGGGCCCCTCCTCGGGTCCGGGTCAGGGAGCCTGTTCGTGGCCGAGGCCCGCCGTGGCCAGAGAGGCCCCTGCTTTTTGAAACGGGTGTCCCGCACGGTGGCGCAGCGACTGCCGGCTTCTCCATTCGCTGGTAGAGGCTCGTCTGCTAACGGATCCAGCCTACTTTCCTCGTTGTGCTCTCGATGGCGCCAAGCTCGTGCGGATCAGCATGCTTTCCCCTTGACGCTTTGGCCAGAGCGCGCGGTCTGGGGTCCGATGCTCATGAGGATCTGACTGCACGAGGCCCGTGTTGCATCGTGCGTGGCGAGGGGGTGCGGCCAGCCAAGAGGTGACCTCTGGAGCGTTCTCCTCGTGTGAGGTCCCAGGTACCCATAGCGATCGGAGGTGGATAGACCTCCTACCCTGACACGTCGATTAAGGAATTGGCCGTTTTCGGTTCGCGGGAGGGCGTCGCGGCCGTCATTTTTGCGGGTCCAGGTCCGTCGGTTTCGGTCCCAGGCCGTTTTCACTAAAGGGTGGTTTACTAAATGGAGGCTTGTCCACCGCCGACAAATGGTGACTCCTTACGACACCAGCGCTCCCCCATTCCTGGAGGTCCCCAGAGGTCTCTAGAGTCGGGGCTCAAGAGACGGGCAATGCAAACGCGGGTCAGCCAGAGCGCCGGATCTTGCAGGATCCTGCAGGGACAGGGTCGCATTGACCCGGGTTTGTGTGCAGGACCCTGCAGGGTCTTGCAGGATCCTTCGCATTGACCCGGGTTTGAGTGCAGGATCTTGGAGGATTTGCAGGATTCTGCAAGGCCTGACTGACCCGGGCCTGGATTGACCCGCTTCAGAAGATCCCCGATAGAGGCCTCCAGAGGTTTCCGAAAGCCCCAAATGGCCTGTCTCTGTCGGCCTCCAGTCCCGCATGTTTCATGTCCCATGCCCGATGCCCCCAAGAAGTCTATCTTTTCCAAGTCTGCTGTATATTTTTCAGATCTTCAGTCCATCTGTATTATTCTCAGGGCACCATGAACAAACTGTCAACAAAGCATGGGGGCGCAATCGGGACACCGTCAACAGACCTTTCTAGACTCCAGCGGGACACCTGCGGGATGACATCAACACCGCAAAACAGTTGTAGGTCAATCATGGCACCATCACAAATCGGTGGGAACTCAATCGGGACACCGTCGCAAACTAAGTCATCGATTCGGGGCACCATCCCAAACCAATCATAACTTCATCGCTCATCAACCAAGACACCCTTGCAACACGCACGCACTGTTTAACTCAAACAGTTTTTATCTGGGCATCCTCGCATACTGATCACAGTCCAAGTGGGGCATCATCGCAGACCGATCGAGTGTCTTTCAGGGCATAGTCGCACATCAATCACACATGTCGCGACGAAGTTGTCTTGACAGCCGCAATGATGTTTTGCAGGGCTTGCCGTGGGTCTGCCGTGGTGTCGGCGTCGCCTACTTGGGCGCGCCGAGGGCAAACGGTGTGGCGACATAGAAGCATCGGAGGAGGACACGTACGGTGGAGGCGTTTGTTAAGCAATAGTCCCAGGAGGCGCCAGACCCTGGAGGATCCCCTATCCAGTGAGGGCGGCGGCGATGTCCGTGGCCGATCCACGGTTGGAGTTCCACCGGCTTCCAGACCCTGGACTCCTTATCTAAGGGTTCCCTATCCAGTGCCCGCACCGTATCCACAATGTATGTGCTTGTCCTCATTCTCCGATGTGTACTCTCAGAGGAGTTGAATGAGTCTTGTTGGAAACTTATTTTAACATACATGGAAAACTGTTTTTGAGATTTAGTTGCTTTTAGTGGCTTTTAGTGGATTTCAGTGGCTTTTAGTGGCTTTTAGTGTCTCACCGCCCTTGCGTGGTAGCGCAGAGAGCGAACCCAAGCCACGAACAAAAAACGAAAACAAACATTAAACGCTATTAAATTCCACTGAACCAGAAACCTGTATGTTAAAATGAGTTTCCAAAAAGACTCAACCAAGAGGAGGAGAGAGGGTACCGGTATACCGCTCCCCGCTTTCCTCGCCTGCAGATTCTTCGGGCCTCCCGGGGATGTCCTCGCCCCGCCACGGCTGGACTCGCCTCGAAGCTCTGGTCGGAACGCACCCTGGGATAGGTTTGAGTCGGGCGTGTCTCTCTACAGAAGGAATCTTCAAACATAGTTGAAAAATAGTCTGGGGACGATCTTTGGACTATTTTTAAGCATTGTGTGAGCATTTTCTGACGATTCTTATTTTTCGTCCAAAATCCCCCTGTATGGGGGACAGGCCCGACCTAAAGATAGGTCAGGGGAGGAGCGGTATCGGTGTTCTTGGTCTCTCCAGAACTTTCTCGCTGCTCCCCCATCGCCCTCCCCATCACACGAATGGAGAGCAACACACAATCGGAGGAGGAGGGGGGAGGGAGGAGGGATGAGGCGGACATGTATGCACACACATATATATACACATACATGTAGAGAGACAGAGAGAAACAGAGACAGAGAGAGAGAGATAACGAGAGAGGGGGGCAGGAGATGGATCCACTGGTGGCCCAGAGATGCGTGCACACATGCATACACATCCTGATTCCTGACTCGTACATGCTCCCACTCAGCTACCTAGCTGGCCGATAGAGATCAACTCGGGGACGTGCCATCCCACCAATCGGAAGCAATACAAAGTCGACGCTTCTCCTTTCCTTGTTGATCTTTCACCGTCGACGCTACAAAATGCGTGGCAGGAAACCAGATGCGACGCACGTCGCACGCGAAATGTTGAAGTGCCGCTTTCGCCCGAGCGTTGCGCACCTCCTTCCCGAAAGTTGCGCCACCGTTTGGGCGCAGCTCGCCTTTTCTCTTCGTCCGCGGGGAAAAAGCACACGGTGGGAAAACACACACACACACAGTCGGTGGACAAAGAACACACACACAGTGTGTGTGTGTGTGGGGGAAGCACACACGCACACACACACACACTGTCTGTGGAAACAAACACACAGTGTGTGTGTGTGTTTCTTCCACGGACTCGTCGGGACGCGGGGCCGCCGGCGCGTGGGCGCGGCGCAGCCCCCGCCCGCTCCAGCGGCCGCCATCTGGCCCGGCAGGTGGCGCTCCCGCTCCGGTGGCGCGGCGCGCACGCCCCGCCCGCCCCGCCGTTGGGGGAGCGGGGCCGCGCTCGCGAGCGCGGGAAGTGCCGCTCTGGCCCAGGCGCCGCGCCGATGTCGCCTGCGAGAGAGAGAGCTCTCGCTCTCTCTCTCTCTCTCTCTCTCTTCTCGTCGTTGTCGTCCTCTCTCCTCCTCCTCCTCCTCCTCCTCCTCCTCCTCCTCCTCCTCCTCCTCCTCCTCCTCCTCCTCCTCCTCCTCCTCCTCCTCCCTCCTCCTCCTCGTCGTCGTCTTTTGCACTCCCCCAGCAGGCGCCTCTGACTGAGGCCTTTCTTGCGGACGCCCGATCCGCTCCGATTCCGGCCCTCCTCCTTCGCCCCTCTTTTTCCGGGTGCTGGCTTGAGCTTGCAGCGTCTTCCTCCTGCCCCCGAGGGCGGGGCCCCGGGCGGCGGAGCCTGTAACACGCAACCGGCTTGCTCGAATCGCACGAGTCCCTCCCCGGATGGGGAACGTGCGGGCTGCAGAATCTGCTGCGTGGGGCTGCTTTCAGCTCCGCCGCCTCGACATGGCCGCCCTCTTGGCGCTGGGAGGCGCGGGGAAAGTCAGCTGCGTGCAGCGGATTCGCTGCCCCCCCGTGTGCTAGTTCACCCCTCTCGTTTGCCCCGGTCCTGTCTCTGCCACCTGCTCCCGCCCCCCCCCCCTGACATCCACCGCGCCATGATTCTTTTGATGCGCGCCCCCTAAAGAGATCCCGACCCCTTACCCCCGGGCCCAGCTCGTCACCCTGGGTCCATTTTTCATGGTCGAGGGCCCCGACGACGGACCGAAGTCGTCGGGCGGGCGGCACTTGGGGGGTGCCTTGAGCGAGGCGTGAAGCAAATGGCCCTTGAGGGACCCTCTATGGGGCCCCTCTTGGAGCCAGCAGGGGCCCGGAGGAAGCCCCCAAAAGGGCCCCCCTCGGGGCCCGTCCCCCCCCCCCCCCGCTTAGGCCCCCCCCCCCCCAGTGTCACCCGCCCGAGGTTGAGGAACAACGTCCGGATCGGGACAGTCATCTCGTTGAACATCGCCGGAGGAGCAGGAGGAGGAGGAGGAGGAGGAGGAGGAGGAGGAGGAGGAGGAGGAGGAGGAGGAGGAGGACCAGTGTAAACCCAAGAGTCATCAACGATGCTGGAATTGATCCTCCCTCCAAGCTTCCTGTTCAGAGGCCCCTACAACGGTTCATTTCCATTGAGGGAACTTCCTCGTTGGAAGACAACCGTTTGAAGATCCTGAAGCATACCAAAACATTGTTCTCGAGATTTCAACGCCACGTATCAACCTGACTGCTGCGTTTTGACGATCCGGAATCATGCCATACCGCTTTTTTTTCTTGATGTCGACACCGCGAATCAACATAATCGTTGCACCCTGTATAATCCGAAATCCTTCCGGAACGCGATTTTTGGTACGCTGATCATGGGAATCGGTGGAACTCTTGCAAATTTTTAGAACGAATGTGCGCGTCGCTAAGGCGAGAGCCACATTTTGAAAACCGCCCGCCCTCAATCCGTGAAGCTCTTGCATTTTTCAAAAGGAATGTGCGCGTCGCTAAGGCGGGAGCCACATTTTGAAAACCACCCACACTCAATCCGTGAAGCTCTTGCAAACGTTTAAAACGACTGTGCGCCTCGCTAAGGCGAGAGCCACATTTTGAAAACCACCCGCCCTTAACCCGTGAAACTCT